TACCTAAATGATTTAACCATATACTCTGATACCTTTGAAAATCATTTAAAACACCTTACAATTATTTTTGATACCTTACAAAAAGCAAATTTGAAAATTAACTTAGATAAATGTCAATTCTTCTTATCAGAAACTAAATTCTTAGGTCATGTTATCTCTAACAAAGGAATCCTACTCGATGAGGACAAGATTATTAAAGTTAAAAACTTTAATAGACCAAATAACTTATGAATAATTAAGAGAATTTTTGGGATTAGCCTCTTATTATCGTAAATTTATTAAAAACTTTTTCAAAATTACTAAACCACTTAACAAATTGTTACAAAAAGATGTCAAATTCGAATGAACTGAAGTACAACAACAGTCCTTTAAAACTCTAAAGGAAAAATTAATTTTCATACCAATCTTAAGACATTCTGATTTTAACTAACCTTTTTACTTGCATACTGATATATCTGAATTAGGATTAGGTGCAGTACTTACACAAAAAGAAAACAAAAATGAATATGCCATTACCTATGCAAGCAAAGCTTAAATAAAGCTGAACAAAATTATTCCACAAATGAATTGAAGTGTTTAGCCATAGTATGGGCTGTTGAATACTTTCATCAATATTTTGGAACAGCACACTTCTATATTGTCACTGACCATTCTACTTTACAAAGGTTAAGGACTACAGAATTAAGAAGAAAATATGCTCACTAGATTCTCAGATTAGAATCCTATAACTATACTATTTTATACAGACCAGGAAAAAAACATAACAATGCTGACTCCTTATCTCGAATATACAAAATTTAATAATCAAATTATTAAAATCTATTAAAACAATATAGTAGTAATCTAATCAAGTTAAATCAAAATTCAGTTCAGGTTGTCGGTATCCTGGCATTCAAATTTTTAAACCTTTTAATCACTTAAACACTTTTACTTTACTTAAATATAGATTCTCAAGAATACCAATACCTTTTAAAATACTTATCCCAACAACACTTACCTATAATCGATAATAAAAACAAAAGAAGACTAGAATTAAAAAGCAGATTTTATCAAACACAAAATAATATATTATACAAAAAAGATTGCAGACACAAAACTTGTAATAAATTACTGAAAGTATTAAAATCCCATGAAGTAGAACTTGTTATCTTTATGATACACAATCATCCCTTAGGAGGATACTTAGGTGTCGATACAGTCTTTAAGAAAATTAGGAATATGTATTATTGGCCACAGATGTATGACAATATTAAATCTTATATATAATCCTGTAATACATGTCAAAAAAGAGGAAAACAAAAGAAAACACAATTATTACAACCTATCCCAGTAGGAAATTCTTTTTATCAGATAGGAATCGATATTGTTGGACCCTTACCTCAAACTTCAAGAAATAAACGTTACATCATTGTTACTACTGACTATATGACAAAATGACCAGAAGCTCGAGCCCTTAGTGAAGCAACCACAAGTAAAGTTGCTGAATTTATATTTGAAGATATCATTTGTTGACATGGTTGTCCTCATATAATTCTGTCTGATCGAGGAACACACTTTAGAAACAATATGATAGCTAATTTATTAGCCCGCTTTCATATTAAATATTTATTTTTTACACCATATCATCTGCAAACAAATGAATTAGTAAAATGATTTAATAGAACTTTATGTAAATCACTTGTTTGCTCCACTAAAACTGTTACCGATTGGAATATAAATATTCCTGCTGTACTGTTTGCCTACTGAACAGCAAAGTAAGCTACTACCAAAATTGAGACATTTTATCTTATTTATAGAAGACCTGCTCATATGTTCCTTATGGAAGTGAGTGAATATGCAGAAGAAAATCTGTTAAATTGCCTATTTCACCTTGTTGATGAATTTCCAAAAGAGAAAGAGAATATAAAGGCCAGAATCAAAGTTAACCAACAAAAACAGAAATGCTATCATGACCAAAAAGTTAAGATCATCATAATATATGAAATAAGTAACAAAATTTTAATGTACAATGCAATAAAAGATAAAAATTATTCTGATAAACTGGAACTAAACTAGAAAGGACCTTACTATATTCATATAATATCACATCCTGGTATGTACAAATTGAGAACCTTAGATGGAAAAGTCCTAAAAGTACCAATTAATGACTTCCTATTGAAAAGATATAATGATAGAGATTCTTGAGTACCACAAATTACAATTGAGTAACATAATATCATCCAAACAAGTTAACGGCATAACCTTATTTTCTATAAAACTACTAGCTCTTTAGAGAATTTTCCTTTTCCCAAAGTACCAATTAATTAACTTAAAAATATAGAAAATGTCACAATATTACTTAGACTTAATTAGAATCGGAAATTATACTGTGAGACAAATTAATAGACCTTATAATCTAAACTATACATGGGAAATTTCTGCCCAACATGTATATTAACAACTACAAATTGCCATGAATTCTTGTAATAGAATCATGACTTTGATATATTGTTACTATTTAGAAGAACTTATTCAATTTTCAGTAACTCTTAAAGCTAAATAGAGAGAATTTGTTCAAGATAATCAAATTCCAAATCATTATTATTTGTATCGAGGAATTACCAGAATTTACCAACTCGTTGAAAAAAATCTAAGTCAGATATATTGTATTATGACCTTGACTTACAACGCTATTTCCAGAATAAAAGTTTCTACATTTAATAAGTTGTTAAGATACAACAATGATCTTAATGACCTTGTTGACAATTTTGAGTTATCATAGTTGTGTTAATTAAGAAAGAGAATGTCAAGAACTTTTCCTATAGAAACTTTACCTTAATCTATCAATTTAACACAACCAAAAGAACTCAAGAAATTTTGTTGAAGTCTTGAATAATCCAAAAACACAACATCTAATGAAGATTTTATAGATAATAATGACATCCAACCTCATCAAAAACCAACATACTTACTTGAAAAATAAATAAGTTTTTAAAAATTTTTAAAAATTTTGTTCTAAAATTTTATGAATAATAATTTTTGAAAGAGTTCAAAACAAAATTATTTGGTAAAATCATTTAATAATAAATAAACAAAATCAATTTGTATTACATAATAAAAAACTTTTTATTTGACTGAAAATTTGTAGAAATTTTTGAAGTGAAAACTTTCTGAAAATTTTTACCTTTTAAAATTTTCTGATGATAAAATATGATAGTTGATTTTAGCTAATTTATAATATAGAAATTATCATTTGATATAGTGATTTTTTTATATTAACTAGTGTTATATATTGTTATATAATAATTTTTATTATTTTCAAATAAAAAACATTGAGAAATTTGAGATTTATTAAAATAATTTTTTTATAAAAATAAAAAAAATTAAACTGAAAGAATTGAGTTTAAGATTTGTAAATTATTTTTATCAATTTATTTATATATAATTAAATAGAATATATATGTAAATTATATAAATTTCAATTTTATATAAATTTATATAAAAATTTTATATAAGCTTTAAATTTCATATAAATTTTATAAAAAAAAAACTGTTAATATACTATCAATATTAAATAATATACTTATAAATAAAATACTTTAATTCAATAAATAAATAAAAGAACTAATGTAATTTAATGTAATTATCAATAATTAAATATATTGTTGATTCTAATGATCAAATTTTATTTATTATTATATTTTTATCTTATTTATTATATTATTATTTTAATATCATGTAATTATTAGTTTATTTATATTTTATTAGCTTAATTTTATATATTATTAATATATATTTATAGAAAACTATTAATGTAAATCATTTTGAAATTAGTATAACTATTAAGTATTATGACTATCTAAGTATACTTAACAGTGTAATGTACAGCATAATCAATAGTATAATGTACAGTGTAATAGATAGCAGAATAGAAAGTATAGTTAATAGTGAATACATCAGTGTAATTAATAGTGTATGCATTAGTGTAGTTTATAGCATAATCTATTATAACTTCAATTATATATATAAAGGGTTGAAATTCTTTTTGCTCAGTCCTCAATTAGTCAGTTAGTTAGTTCAGCTCAGTTTTTAGAGTTAGTTCAATAACTAATTCTCAGTTCTTTTGTTAATAAAATATTTTGTGATTTACCTTATAAATAATAAATATCTGTGTGAATTGTTATTTATACCATTGTAATTTCTTAGTGAAATTTTGTATTATTTCTTAGTGAAATACTAAAATCCTTGTTGAATTATACTTTGCTTTGTGATCTCATATACCATTTTTGTGTTATAATTCTTTACTTAGTGTTAGGAATTATCAGTTTAGTTTAGTTATACCTTATTCTTTGTGAATAGTTTAGTCAAACCTTTATAAAAATCTCATAGCCTTGTCTTTTTTAAATAAATATGTAATACCTAGATCCTTCAAACATCATACTTTTTGTAGTATAAATTAGTTAGTGGTAATATATTAGTTTAGCTACCATACCTTTAGCTAATAGTTAATCATATTCCTTGAAGGTTGGATCATAGTCAACAATATGTTTTTTAGTAAATAGCTATATTTAACTAATAAATAGTTAACTTATATATGCATGATCAATGATATTGTTATTAAATTGGATATGTAAATACTTAAGTGCATATTATGGAGCAGAAGACACTTAAGTACACAGTATATTATTATTGTAAAGTATAAAATTAAGTATGTAACATATATATTATTAAAGAAAATTATTAATAATTAAGTTTAAAACTAATTGACAAACTGATATAAATCCTAAAGAACCATAAGTTTATTAACAAAGAGGTACCTTGATAATAGCATACTACAGAAGATTAAAGCCATATACATTTTACTACTGTATATAACACCATCAAAATTCAAAAAAAGAAAATTACCTTCTTTTGTGATATGGTGATTTTTATTTTGAGCCAAGATTTTGTATTAGCCAATCAAATGTGAATAGATAAATATATATAAGTATATCATCGAAGAGTGCGAGTTATCGAAAGGAATGGAGTTTCTCATTGGAATAATTGGAAAAGATTTCGTACTTGTAGCCGCAGATACTACGGCGGTCATATCGATTAACATTTTTAAAGTTGATGAGGATAAATCCAGAGATCTCAACAAGCACATTATCATGCTATATTCCGGAGAACCAGGAGATGCAGTCAATTTCGCAGAGTATATTCAAAGAAATGTTAGATTTTATGGAATTAAAAATGGAATTGAATTGAATCCTAAGGCAGCAGCCACTTTCACAAGAAGAGAATTGGCGCAGAGTTTGAGAAGCCGGGTGAGTCCTTACTTTCATGAATTAATTTGAATCACTACTATTTTTTGCATATTTCTATTTGTACAATATACGTGTTCATGTGTTCATGTGTTCATGTATATTGTCAAAGAAATATTCATTTTTAAATATCCACATTTTTCATTTACTTTACTTTTTTGGACATAATTGATATAATTGACATAATTCAAATAACTTTTACCGATATTTTAATTATCATTAGAAACCTTACTCGGTTAATGTCCTCATCGCCGGATACGATATAACAAAAACGACACCTCACTTATATTGGATTGACTATCTTGGTACTTCCGTTGAAGCACCTTATGTTGCGCACGGATATGGAGCTTATTATACTACATCCTTCTTGGATAAGCATCATCACCCAGATCTTACATTTGAAGAAGCAAAAATTCTAATTAAGAAGTGCATAGATGAAATCAAACATAGGTTAATCTTAAACCTTCCTGAATTTAAAATTAAAGTTGTAGATAAAGATGGAATTCGAGAAGTTGTCATTTAAAAACAAAATTGCAAGTTTTGATTTTATTTTTCACATTTAGACATTATTTTATTATATTAAGTGTGAATTACCTAACGCAATGTTTCTAATAAAAAAAAAAAAAAAAAAAAAGCAAGAAATAATGAGTAATGATTCTTTTCCATTTTATTATTGAATACAATAAACAAAGTTTTCATGGTTTTGAGATTCTTTTATATAAAATATTAATACTCAGAACAACAGAACAAGAAATTCTTCTAGATAATTATACATTGTATATATCATCATACATATCATACATATTATATATGATAAATATCTAATTCCGTCAAAGATAAATTAAATCAATTTTAATTAATTAATTGAGATCACTCTTTTATTAGAAAATAATGAGTTGCAACTCAAAAGATAAATATATTTATAAACATCGAATTAATATTTAATAAAATATTTTTGAATGGATAAAAATTATGAAAATTGAAAATATCTTCTTTTTTATTCCTAAAAGTTTGAACATAAAAAAAGGGTAACTAAATAACAAAAAAGTATAAAATTCCATGTTTCGAAAATAGATTCTTCTAATAAAGGTTGTCAGGTTGTTTGCTTGACTTTCTTACTAACATTATCCTCATTCGTTTCCTTTTCATTGTCATTATTAGCATTATTATCATTATTATTGTTGTTATTGTCATTTGATTCATTTTCAGCTTTACGTTTCCTTTCTTGTATTTCTTGTATTGAAATTTCATCTGATAAATTGTTTTCGTTTGGACTATTATTGGATGCTAATTTTCTTTTAATCAATGAAGTCACGTCGTTAACTTGATTCACTACGGATGATAATGAGATATTTGCTTCCTCTGATGCTAATTCTGACAAATTTGATGTTGATAATAATTTTACGTATTCCTTCAATGCTAATTCACTAGATTTGGGTTCTTTTTGTTCTTGATTAAGTCTTGATGTCTTAATATCTTCAATCTATAATAAACAAATAAACAAACAAACAAACAAAAAATGTAAATAAATTATATAATATATTAATTATATTAATTATATTATATTAATAATTATCTACCTTAGTTTCCATTTCCACCAAAAGTTCATCAATATCCTTAATTTCTTTTTCAATAGATATGGTAGGATCTTCCGCGGTGGCTACTTGTTTACCTTTTCCGGTTCTTTCCTGATGTGTAGTTAATTGGGCTAGTAAAATTTCTTTACGTTTTTGGAGCACCTCCGTGGCCTTTTGGACGTGTTGAATGGCTTCATCTTGATTATTTATATCAGGGATTGATTCGAGAGCCAAGGCTAACCTCCAATGAGTTTTAAAAGTCAAGGAACGGAATTATTTCAATACTTTCTATATAATCGTTCAAATAAAAATACTGTAATAAAGAAAGGATATGCTTCTGCTATTTGTCGATTATCTTCAGAAAGTGTTTCTTTCTTAATTTTAAGGCCTTCTCTGTAATCGATCGCAGCTTGATCAAACTTTTCTAATCAATCAAATAAATATTAAATTAATTAAATTAATTCTTATTAATTTTAAAAAATAAAGGATAAATTATTTCATTAAATAATAAAAAAAAACTTGAAAATAATTATTACCATTTTCAAGAGATATATCTCCTAATTTTATGTACACTTCGCCAAGATTTATTTTCGCTGATTCAGTTGAAAGTTGTGAATATATATCTCGAGAATATTCTAATATCTCCCACGCAAGCTTCAAATCATCTGGCTCTTCTCCGGATTGTTCTAATGATCCGTCAACTTGGTTATCAGCATCATCGATTTGATCGTCACTGTCATCATCATCTCCCTCAAAAACAAAATACGAAGAATTTGCCTGGACATTCTCTAAAATCAAATAAAATATTCAATAAATAGTCACAGAATTGCCATGTAGTCATAATTTTATAAATATATACCAGACGGTGTTTCTGTAGAAGATTCTTGGGGAATGGCTTGGGGTCCAAGTGCTGTATTTTGAATCCTGAAATTCTCTAGTAAGGAATGGCCATAATTATATAGAGCTTCTGCATACTCTTCAGACTCTAAACCATAAAATTTACCCCTGATAATAATAAAAAATAATTGTACGCGTTTTAGTTGATTTAACTTTCTTTTACGCGTTGACTCCGTTTCGTAAAAGCTTACACAAGTTCAGAAACATTCGAAAATTTGTCTGCAGCAGTTGCAAAATCTTGCAAAATGAAGGCTTTGATAGCTTCCTCGTTCAAGACCTGAATACTTTTTGAATCAATCGAACTACTAGAAGAATGAATTTCTACTGTTGTAGGAGAACTACTACTCATTTTCAGTAATAATATTATTAAAACAATATAGCTTTTACAATTTATAACAATTACAACTTTATATACCGCAGTACTTTAAAACGTGTGACAGAAAAAAGTAATTATACAATAATACCCGACGCGGGACTCGAACCCGCAATCCCCAGATGACATCACAATAGAAGTCTGGTGCGTTATCCAATTACGCCAGCCGGGCTAATGTAGAAAGAAATCCGATTTAATATTATATAAAGCTTTAAATGTATAAAACAATGAAATCATTCTCGCTCTGAGGAATCCACGTGATGCTAGTTAAAGAATATTTTTAATTCCTTTACTGAAAATATTAAAATAAATGATGAAAATGATAACCAATCTCGTTTACAATAATAAATCAGCAAAATATTTAATATATTTAGGAAAAAGAAAAAAAATAATAAATAATACAAATGCCAGGGACAAAAAAAAATAATGAATAATATAATATAATATATATAAATATATATAGATATTTCAAATTAAAAAAAAAAATACTTCGCTATCTCATTATTTGGCCATTCATAAAAAGAAAAAATGAGAACAAGAAATTAATGGATATCCGAATATTGACCAACCATTTCAATTTAGTTAAAGACTGTATGATTTGATAATGAACTATTTACTATTTTTTTTAACGGGAAAAAAAAATAACATTGTAAGTAAATTTCTCGTAATCTAAAGAAATTGTGTATAAAATTGTGATGCGTATAAACAATATTCACCTATTTGATCCAATCAATATTATTTCAACCAACAACGCCAATATCTACACAAACGTTACTATTTAAAAATTTTACTAATCAAAAGTCGAAAGAATATCAAATAACATTAATTTAATAAAAAAATAATATTGTCATACCGATGTTTATACAACTTGTAAACAGAACCCAGCCGGCTTATTGTTAACACTAAGTACTTACTAATCGTGAAATTCAGGGATGAGTGGATGTAAATTAGATACAAGGCTTCGGAGGATTTTAGTTCGTTGGTTAAAATTTCATTGTATCGAAACGGAATGAAAATGGTTGATGATAATATTCGTTTATTAAAGTCGATGGAAATCAGGGACAACAAAATCAAAGAATAATATTATAATACAATAAAGTATCAAAATTTTACGTTTTGCATAAACATGAAGTCAAAGGGATTATAAAAAGATCAAAAAATTTCCCATACACTAATCTAAACAAAAGTTAAGAAAAAACATAATAAAAAAAAAAAAAATAATAGAATAAAAATGAACTAATATAAATATAAAAAGAATGAATGTTCGATTTAACGGAATACTAAGATTTTTGCGTTGGTTCTGAGCAAACAATTAAAAAAAAGGTATGATATTTAAATGACGATGAGAACGTTGTGATAAATATTAGCGACAATAAATTCGATACTCCCTCACCTATTTTAAAGTGCCATTAATATATTTTTTTTAAATACATCAAATGCATACATATATATTAGTTTATACATTATTATTTGGAATCGCCGCCTTCAACGACAACATCATTTTCACTACTCCCTTCGACGGTTAGTTTTTTTTGAACCATTTCGTTCAATTCTTCCGTGTTATCGTTACTAGAACTAGTGCTTATAATTGGGGCTTCGGCTTCGGTTGCCTTTGGCGTAGGAGCAGTGGTGGTAGCAACTTGTCCATCCGTTCCGGGTTGTACAACGGGTCCTTGGTAAATTGGTTGATAATATCTTGCAACATATTGTGGACCGAAAGGAGGCGAAATCGACCCAGGGGGGTACGCACTAAAAAAAAAAAATGCGTATTGTATTTTTGTTATTAATTGAATTTCATCCAAATGAATTCATACTAACAAATCACTTACCCAGCAGGTTGAACTCCCTCTGGATAATACTGAAGATAAGCACCAGGACCTGGCGGAGACCCTGGGGCAGCCATGCCCAACATATGCTCAGGGGTAACAGGTACTTGTGGAATCATTCTCTGCATGATATGAAAGATATGTGAGAAGGACTTGGAATTTTATGAGATAAAATAAAGAAATACTCACCCCACCCAAGGAAGCTGCGAATTCTCTAGTGGTTCTCCACATACGTTTTCTAGCTGTTTGGCCTTTCAACTTCTTTTGAGCTAAAGAATCGGCGAATCGCACTTGTAAAGGCAAATTTGCTCCTGGAAGTTGATATCCATTAAATTTTTGGATAATAGCCAAAGCAGAATCACGGTCTTCCATTCTAATAATAAATATATTATTATAATTTGATTATTGATTCCTTTAAATGGTATACAGAATCACTTGTTATTTGAATATCTATCTATCTATATATCTATCTACTATATCTAAATTTTCTCAATTTCATAAACTTGTTAAATTCTTTATTTTTTATAGAAATATATTTATTTTTACAATAACATACCTAGCAAAGCCAACCCCACGACTTGTCCCGTTAGCATCCCTAAGGATTCGATTAGATACAACTTTATAAGGTTTGAATAATTCTTCCAATTGCTAAAAGAAAATCACAATAAATATTACATGAGTTTTTCGAAAAAAAATCCGAATACATAATACATCAAAAAGTAAATATTATGTAACTGGAATCAAAATTCAGAACAATAAACCTCCTTACTTGTTCATTCATGTCTAAAGGTAAGTTTGACAAATATATATTTGTCGAAGCCAAGTCTTGTAAATTCTTTAGTCGGGTGCTGAAAGATTCCTAAGATAATTGTAAAACGATTTAGCCTAAATATCGAATCTTATGTGTTCAAAAAAAAAGGAAGATAATAATTTAGATACACTCACATAACCAACCTTAGCGAAGGAAACTTGCAATCCCACTCGCGTCAGTTGTTCAATAGCATGCTTCGCTTGATCTTCACTTTCATACATCACAAAACCGTAACCTTTACAGTCTCCTTGCTTTTGATCTATAATGGCCTTTGAAGATGTAATAGAACCATATCTAAGAATAAAATAAAAATTTGATTAATTTGACCATTAAATATATTTAATATATTTGATTAACTAAAATAAATAATCTTTAAGTGATTCTTATATTTCTCAAAAAAAAGCTATGGGATTGTAACACGCTTTAAAAATTAAATAATTACAACCGTATGCGTAATATTGTAAAAAATTAGAATGCATAATATTAATTATTGGTGTTTAATTTCTTGTTATAATTAATCCATGATCTGTAAAGAAAATAGGCAATAGGTTCATTATTATCTAAGGAATTAACAAGTTACTCACATTGAACACATTGAGTGTAAAGATTCGTCAGTCGTTGTAGGAGGCAAACCACGAATGTATATATTAGTCGTTTTTGTAGGATTACTGAAATTAGGAATATTAGGGATCTGATGAGAACCCGAATTTCTTCTTCCATAATTATAATGGGGTTGAGATCGGTTAGTACTGTTACGACCATTGTTGTTGTTTAAAGGGGCAACTTTGGGAGATGGAACACCAGGACCGGGTAAATACTGTAAAGGTGGAGAATTAGGTGCGGATGATGACGTATGGGAAAGTGTTGGTGAAAGTGTGTGAAGCATGCCATAAGGTGATTGTGGAGAATACAAGTAAGGGTGCATAGGTGGTGAATGAATCAATCCAGTTGGTCCTACTTGGGGAGAAGTAGGATAATATGCAATTGGTGGACTGGTCGCGGTGAAATAAGGACTCAAAGGTTGTGGAGCGAGTGAAGGTGATGTTTGCCCTTGAAGCGGTGGCGTTCCTGGATATCCAGTTCCATAATCTGCCGAATAATACTGTGAATATGAAGGATGCATTCCATAGTGACCGTAGGCCGCAAAAGCGTTCGGATCACTCGGATCATAGCCAGCAGCCATAGCAGCTTGATAAGCCTCTGCAGCGATAGCAGTTTGTTGATCCACATAATTTTGTCCGTTAGCATAATAAAAATTGGGTGTAGGTGACAGGGGTACTGGAGGTACAGCGTTGTTTGGGTTTGAGGTGTATTCGTTTCCACTAGTTTTTCCATGTTCTTTTTTCTCAACGTGATTATCTTTCAAATCATTTCCTGCTGAAGCAGCAGTGTTGTTAATGTCATTTTGCTTACTTGCAGTTTCTGTGCCTGCTGGCGCGGACGTCTCTTTCTGTGAGCTCATTATAAAATCAAAGTCTTTTTCAAATTCTAGATGTAAACCCTTCTTGGGCTTAGTATCAAAAATTGTTATCAAAATCGTCTGGCTAAGCAACCGGAATTCTTCTTTTTAGTCAAGGTTTAACTAAAACGATCAAAATTTTTAAATTAGATCCTCGAAATAATAATGACACTTAGCATCCGTCACGGGTGTACTAAAGGGTCGTCAAGAGCTCTAAAAACTGCTAATGTCCTTAGACGGTGGTGGTCCACTGAAGAGAAGTGGGGGCAAACTTGTGGTGTGAGAGGACGTTGAAATGGTGCCCACCACAGTCAGTGGAAAAAAAAGGGTGGTTATGTTTTTGTGTTTTGTTAGCTGTGACCACAGATTGTGGCGCTCATTGATTTTTAAAATAACAGAAACCTCGGTCATGTGACAGGTTTTATTTTGAACATTATATACATCATATTTATATATTGTTACATAAATTTTTACTAATCAATTATGGCTTGGATTCCAAAATTCAAAGTCTTTGGTTCAAGTCGATTGTCACATGACTCAATTCAATAGTTTTGGTGACAAAAATATGGATTATCATTTATTATTAAAAATAATTTTATCTGTATCTAATTAAAATTCAATAGTTTTTAACAATGTGTATAATCTTTTAGAAAATATTTTCAATATAGTGTTTATTATACATGTTGTCAAAATTATTAAATTGAGTTAGAGTCAAGTAAAATTTTTATTTTTGCATGGTAAATTAATACAGTTATTAAGTTAGATACAATTAAAAATTGAAAAGTTAGAATTGAATCAAAGGCTTTTTACTTTTGATAACATATATAGTATTTACTATATATAGTATATTATCTAAATTCAAAACCTTTGACTTGATTAATCGTGTTAATATAACTATATTAAATTTCATATAACTCAAATTCAATTTTTTCAATTTTAATTACATTTGACTCAATTCAATAGTTTTGATAATATGTATAGTTCACTGGTTTATTTTTATAACTTCTAATTAATAATAATAATATATTTCTATTCATTCTAAATTCAGAATTTGCATAAATTTGTATATGTAGTAAATATAGGTATCACCCAAATTCAAAATGCTAAATTTCAAATTTCAAATTTCAAATTTCAAATTACTAATTGTCAAAATTCCAAATTTCAAATTATGCCAAATTCCAAATTTCAAATATTATGAAAACTGAATTTTGACAACTGAAATGTCAAAATAATTTGAAATTTGTATGGCATATATAATAGTAAACCTCTTTTTCAGTTTTTAAATTCAGTTTTGATATATAATATTATATAGAAAATATTATTAACCAAAATTTACATTTAAAGGAATTTGATAAACTAGTAACTAAAAGTAGAAAAATATATATAACTAAAGCTAAAACAACTATACTAAATATGCTATTGTTAAAAGGGTTATATTATAAAGGAAGTATAAATATAAAGGTTTTATAATTATGGATTTATTCAAATAAGATTAAAAGAAATGAAATTTTTAATAAAAGTATGTGTCACTAAAATAATATTTCATTAAGAAGAGTTACTAAAACAAATTACGAAAACAAAACTATACTAAATAAATCATTAAAACAAAAATTATAACAAATACTAATTACAAAAATAAAAATAATTATTAAAGTTTCTAATGTAACAGTTTGGTTCAGTTCTAATATTGAACTGGAACTGAATCAAAATTTAAAAACTGGTTTCAGTTTGAAACTGAAATTTAAAAATATTGAACTGAACCAAACTGAAATCAAACTGAACTAAACTGGTTTGCACCAGTTCAAAATGATACAAAAAATTTTTTTCTGTTAAAGTTTTATTTAACTATTATAGTAAATTGTAATATAAAACTGTTATAAAAGTAATTTTTATAAGTTTAAAAAGATATTTACATATAGAAATTGTAAAAATTTAAAAATAATTTTATTTATATAAATAATATTTTTCAAAATATTATAAAAATTTACATATTTTCATAGATATTTCTTTCTAATTTTAACCACCCTTTTAAATACATACACATTCTTATAGTATTAGATTTTAAACTACTTTTTCTTTATGTAATTAAATTAATACCACCTGAAAATATTTTTTCAACTGAAACACTTGTTCCTGTTTAAAATAAAATAAATTTAAAAAAAATAATTTATAATAAATTAATTTAATAAATATTAAAAAATATATCAAAAATTAATAAAAAATCATAAGTCATTTTTGCAAAATTAGAATATTCAATTTCATGAAACTATATGAATTAAAAATTAAAATAATATAATAAAATAAAATTTCAATATTAATATTTAATTCTGATTTTTAAACCATTACCTTTCAATACATTAGAATATTCATATTATAATTTAATGGAAGTTCTTTTAAATATGAACTTAATTCATCAATATATATAATTTTTCTTTTTTTAAAAATAAGAACAAATAAAATATTAAATTTAAATGAGGATTCATCTACATTGGTTAAAAATTGATAAATCATACATACATCGGGTATTCGATATATGTATGGTATATTCTTAATATCATGTGTATATCGGATACCTGATAGATGTTGTCACCGGTGGTTTCTGGTTTTCTCAGGAACTACCTGAGAAGAGTGACTTGACAGTTCTTTTAAGAAATTTATAATCTTTTTCTGAAGGTAAGACTGTTGTTTTATTATTTTAGAAAACACCACTAATTCAGTTATTTTAGAAAGGGAATTAGACCTTTCATTCAATTTATTTCAATATCTTTTCAAGTTCGTCATCATTCTCAATATTAATATTCATCCATTAATTATCTTTTAGTTTCATTAACTTTAAATGTTGTTTCCAATTATCCAGGTTAATTATTATTCCAAGTTCAGATTTTATAATGATAGTTTATAATTAATTTCATTAACTCAGGAATAATAACATTATACAATTATACAATCAAGTATTTAATCCCATAAC